CGGGCCGGCGCTGAGTGACAGCCCGCCCCGCACAGCGGGCGCCTCCCTCCGCGCCCTCTGCCTTCTCCCCCTCCCCGCTCCGCTAACAAAGGAAGTGATTCTGGGTGAGAAAAGCTGGGGAACGGTGAGCTGTTCGTGGGGTCTGCTGGGTGAGCCGGGTCTCGGAGGTGAGCAGAGGCGCCGCCTCCCCGTGTCCACGCCCCTCCTCCTCATGCAGCGAGCACGGGAGGCGACCCCTCCAGCGGCGACGCACAGCGTCTCCCGCCGGGGATCCAGATCCCCCCGGGACTCCCCGCGCCCCACCCCTCCTCCTGAACCCTGCTCTCCCAGCGGAAGGCGAGGGCGACTCTGAGGAGCCAGCACCCACCTGCACGCTGCCGGGCAGCTGGGCCCGAGCCCTTTCACCCCCGCCTGAACGGCCACCCGCCCGGTCCCTGAGCAGCGCCCACTTCACCCATGCGGCGAGGCCCAGGGGAGCGACCTGGCTTCCCAGAGCATCTCCGTCAGCGTCGCCCCCTTTGGTGCCTCTCTGTCCCCCTCTCCCCGCCAGCACAGGACCTGAGCCAAAGCCACAGGCCATCCGTCCAGTCCAGGCCCCTGCGGAAGGTGCGGGAGCCCAGCCAGGGCAGGTCGCAGGGCAGGTCTCCGTGGCCCCTGCCCCGGGCTCCCCCTGTGCCCGGCCCCCACTTCCCCTCAGCTGCCTTCCTGCAGGTCCAGGTTAGGAACCCCTGCCCCACGTGCTAAGAAAGGGGCCACCCCTCACACAAAGGAGGTGCCTGGCGAGATCCCAACCTGAGAAAGCCTTGTTCGTGGATTCTGGGAAAGAGCCCTGGGCAGGCAGAGCTGGGCCAGCGACTACTGCCTCCAGGCCACCCCCGGCCCTGAGGACACAGCCCACTCCTTGGATGTCGGGGTGCCCAGCGAGTCCTGTGCATAGGAGAGCGAGCACAGTGGAGATGGGGGGGGGCTGCTGCTGAAGCCAGAGCAGCTGGGCGGAGGGGGTGGGGGAATCTAGGGGGTGCCCAGCATGGGGGAGATAACTTCCGTTTCTGCCTCAGGTCTGGCAGTGAAGCTGCACCCTTCCCCGAGCCGAGCTGGAGAAACTGGCCAGCGGGAGCCCTTCCCTGTGCTCAGGCCTCGGCTCCCACTGGCCCCCGAGGTCCTGCACCCGCCTGCGCATCAGCCTTTGCTGCCGCCCCAGCCCACGTTCTCGGCCCCTCCCTCGGCCCGTGTCCTTTTGTGATCGAGGCTTTTCTGTTGTTTTTCACTCTGCTTCCTGGTTTCCGCTCCTCTCGCTGCCAGCAGAACCTGCAGAGACCCAGGCAAACCTGGCCTGGGCAGGGGGTGGGTGAAAACCCAGCAGCATCTCCGGCTCGGGGGCACCTGAACCCCTTCCGCACACACTCCCGTCCCGGTTGACAGATAGGAGATACCTTTGCATAATACCTGCAAGGAGTCTGCTTGTTCCTCAGTTCTGGGTCTTCTCCATCCCCCAGCCCAGGGCCAGCCCTCCTGGGGGATTCAGAGCTGGCTCAGGCAGGGTCCACCCAGCCCTTGAGCCCTCGGAGGGAGGGGGCGGGTCCAGGGCAGCAGGGCCAGACCTGGTGCTGGGATAAGAGCAGCTGGCAGAGTCGGGAGCCGGACGGGACCTGGGCTTCAGGCCCTGCCCTGCCCCGTGGGCCACGTGGCCCCTAGCCAGCCGTCCTCTGCTCACCTACCAGTCAGCTGGCGCCCAGGGGCAGATTCCAGGGCTGCCAGGAGGGGCCTGGGGAGGTAAGAGGGGTCAGAGGTCTGTCATGGGGACAGTGTGGGGAGGTGCAGCAAAACCAGTGGGACCAAAGCTCAGGAATTTACGCTGAGCAAAAACCCTCGCAGGACCCGTGGCTGGGTGACCACCCTCCGCACAGCGGGGTCTGTCAAGCTGGCTGGGAGCAGCGCCTCAGGGCCTGGCGATGAGGGCTTAACGAGCTGACTGTGGGGTGACTGTGCGGCACATCTTATCAACTACACCAGCAGGACGTAGTGGGCTGGAAAGGGCCGGGGAGCGCGCAGTTCTGAAATCTGCTCTGAGTGGCCAGTCGTGGTAAAACTGGCACCTAACCCCATAGGTGCCAGGCTTGGGTGCCCTTAAAGGCGACCGGTGAAAACCTTCAATCAGGCGTGTGGCTCGTCACGGTGAGTCCAGGCATCCCCGGGGCCTGGCCTCGCGTCTCTTCCCCGCACCCCCTGGTCCTGCTTCCTCTCCCCAAGCAGCCCCCGTCCTGGGCTGCTCCACCAAGGGCAGCGTGCGGGGAGCGGGGAGCTGAGGCGGGGCGCCCTGGGGGGCAGGACCACGCTGGACCCAACGCAAAGCGGGGAGGAGCCTGTCCAAGGAGGGGTGCCCTCTGGGTGCCCCTGTCACACAGCAGCAGGAGGGGGGTCAGGCTCAGCTTTGGGGGGTCCTCTTTCCCCTCCCAACAGGCAGGAGGTTGTTTCAGTGTTGTTCTGGGCAGCGTCCATGTGAGGAGGGGGGGGTTGGCGAGGGCCTAAAGGGAACGATTTCTAATGGCAAGAATGCTCCTGCCTTTCCCCAGGCCCCCCAAGCCAGGCACGCCCTGCAGTGACCCCCTCGAGGTTCCCTCCCCCTCAGATTTGTCATCTGGGTCCCTGCCCTGCCTCACCTGTGCCTCTTCCCCTCTCCCTTCCCCCCTGTCAGAGGCCTTGTGGAGGAGACGCTGGGTCTCTGGGAAGGAGTGACCCGGGCTGCGTCCCGTGTGTCTGCATCGGGCACCTATGGGACTCGGTCTCTCGAGGTGGCGAGAAGCCCCCTGGGTCCCAAAGCGAGGATGCTGCTTTCACGTCTTCCCTAACCTCCCGTCCATTCTTTCACACGCTTGCTCGTCTACTCTGTGCAGCCGACACTTACCAAGGAGACAGGCGGGCAGATGGCCTCTGGCCCGTCCCGGCTCCACCTGGCGCTGGGGGGACCCAGCAACACGTCACATCCCTCTCGGCCTCAGGCCTGCTCACCGCGTTGCCGACCTCATGTATCTGAAAGTGCTTTTCAGGTTGTAAGTCGCTGGGCAGACATCGTGGCCTGCTCCACTGGTGAGGGGGAGTTTTCGAGGGCTTGGGATAGGAGCCCGAAGGGTCGGGATACGTTTGGAAAGATCCTCTGGGATCCCATGCAGAGCGGACCAGAGCGGGGCCTGTCAGAGGCAGTGGCAGCCTTGGTCCAGGAAGATTAAGAGGCAAACATAAGATGAAATGTGGGAGCAGAGAAGATGGACAAGGGAGACGTCACACAGGACCCCCGAGCGCCTGGCCAGCTGAGCAGGGCGGCCAGGGAGAGTGGACGTGTGAAGATGACTCTTGGAGTTTAAGCCTGGGCTCCCGGATGGATGCTGATGGCTGGAAGGGACACAGGGACAGGGCCTGCACAGGACAAGTTCGCTCCTGCACAGATGGTGGGATGCGCCCCCGGAGACATCAGGTGCAGGGCCCGCAGGCTGGTGGGGAGGGCCAAGGGGATGGCTGGAGCTCCAGCTGAGCCGACGCAACAGAGGTGGCAGTCAAAACTCTGGGTGGGATGAGGTCACTCGGGGAGAGGATGCAGAGGAGAAATGGGAAAGAGGTGGGGCGGGGTGGGGTGTTTTTTTTTGTAGGGTGGGCTCACCCAGGGGAGCAGGGTGCTGAGGGTTTCAGGGCTGGAGAGCAGCCCTGAGCCATCTGAGGGGCGGGGGTGGGACTTGGTGACGAGAGGGGGTCAGTTGGGCAGAAACCCTGTCTCCTGGGCTGACGCAGGAGCAGAAGGCAAAGGTGTGGCTGTGGGCGCAGCCGCGGCTCTGAGGAGCTCGGCAGGGAAGAGAGGGGAAGATGGACGGTCAGCTGCAGGAGAGATGGGTCAGAGAGAGGCGGGCTTTAGGCAGCGAGCTCTGCGCATGCTCAGCACCCGAGGGAGCCCCACAGGCGGGGGGTGGGGGGGAGGCGAATCAGGGCAGGGGAGCTGGGAACAGCCCCGCTTGTCCGGGTCGCATGTGGTTAGTGGCAGCTGGCTGGGCACAGGACTCTGGGTGCTCGCAGACCTGGGCGCACCAGCTCTGCCACCCCAATGCCCCCTCTCCCAATCCCGCCCCATCTGGCAGCAGCCAGCAGCTCACGCCCACGTGCTGCACATCAGTGCAGAGTCAGCTTTCTCCTGGCACCAGCGGCTCTTCGTCTGGCGGCCCGTGGCCCGGCTGCCCTCACCCCTCCCTGCTCGCAGTCCCCAGGGCGCCAGCCATGGATTTCTTGGCTTCTCTGGCCCTGACTGCAGCCAAAAAGGTGCCTCGTGGGCCGGCCACCTGCCACCCCAGTGCTGCCTGCGAGGCCTGGAGGCAGCTCCGCCGTATCGCAGACTCATCGGAGCTCACGCCTCCCGCACGGCCCGCCCCATCCCGAGTGGCATGGTCTCCCCTCCTTCCTGGGCTCCCGGCACGCCACCCCCAAAGCTACAAGGGCAAGGACCCCTGCTCCC